ATGGCAATGGTGTGCACAGCAATGGCAATGGTGTGTATGGCAATGGTGTGCACAGCAATGGCAACGGTGTGTATGGCAATGGCAATGGTGTGCACATTGCTGTGCACGGCAATGGCAATGGTGTGCGCCACCACTGAGGGAGCAGGTAGGTGGCGGCACTTATCCGGCTATGGATTTTAGATTTTCCAAGAGGGGTTTGGATAGAACTCGGTTTTCTTTGTACAGTGGTTGAGTTTGGGTAGAAGTTTTACCAAGGAACTTGGAATTGTGAGTGTTTGATAATAAAAGCTCGTGTTTGGCACGTCAGAGAAATATTTACTAAAGGAGTAGCAAATAGCAATACCCTATGTTCTTTCCTTCTTTTGTTCTAAAGATTTTGGCCGTTTATTAGGCTGTGGGAAGAGAATATTTGAATGACGTTGTCAGAGATGTAGCATCATCTTCTGCTGATATAGAACATGGTTATGTTTGCAGAAACTACAGTACTGGAAAGGTTTGATTTGTGTTGATGGGTTTTCCATCTCTTTAGTTCGGTTTTCCAATATGTAAGTTTAGACTGATGAATTATGGAAAGGTTTTGCGTGTTATACATGCATGTCATCTGCTCTTGCTAGATTAAAAGCTTTTCTTGCTAGGGTAATTACTTTGGTTATCGTATTTGGATTGGTCCTTCACCACATGCAGGCTTCATTGAGGCAATCCTTCCCCCCAGTCACAACTTTATCTTCCCTGGAGTGCCTGCAACACACCCTTAAGAGTGTAGAGTCTAATCTCTCTTTCTTATATATCAAAAAAAAAAAAAGTATTTGGGTATTCAGGTTACTTGTAGTCTTGTATTTAGTGGTATGGCAAGAGATGACCCATAATTTCCTTGTCCACACCACTAGCAAAAATGCAAAATACATGAGTCAATGAGTCACAGCCTTGGCAACCCAAGAGAGTGGAATAAATAGCCGATTGCCCTAACGAAAGACTTTGGAACTCAAGCCAACGTTTCAATTGGTAAAAAGGTTGATTATACCCGATTTTCTGAAGTTCAGACCTCAAAAACCAGTTGAAGAAAATATGTCATGTTTTAAAGCCCAATCATTAGCATGCACAAAATGAAAATCTAATTAATGAAAGGCTCCAGCAATAATTGAGCGACAAGTGAATGTGAAATAGTTATATTGTGATAACCAGTTAGCGACTCGGATGGTAAAAAATAAAAAAACCAGTGTAATTGATGTCAATACAAAACCATGTTGGGAGTGCATTTCTGCCATTAAGAACCTCGAAAACTGCTACAAGAAGAAATCAATTACAAGCAACGATTATTTACCAATTTTTTTATCAATTAAAATCAAAATCAAATTAACGATTATATTTACCAAATTAAGTACTCAATGTTAATTAGCAAATTGAAGAATTTGCAAACAGTGATAAATAACCATTAACCACATTACCATCAAGTGATTAACATTGTTCTTGGTGGCTTAAACATGAATGTATACATTGATATATCATGGTACGTAATGAAAATTAAAGCTTAAACAAAACTTAAATGAATTAGCTAAAACATATATATAGAATTTAACTCAACAAGTTTATATATATTATAATGAGTTCAAAATGTAAATCTACTTGGAAAATTTCAAAATATCAGTCTCAAGGCCAAGATATTGAAATGGGAATTTCTGACTGGAAGTGCCAACACCCACAACCTGGTTGGCTTTGCTGATCTGGGACTGATGATCCATGTTGGGGTGGGATGCTAGAAGCTTGTCCAGGAATGACCAGTCACCATGGAACCTCTCCTGCTGCTGCTGCTGTTGCTGCTGTTGCTGCTGTTGCTGCTGAATGGATGTTAGCCTTAATAAGCTCTGAGAGCACTCCAATTCCATTGAGTTGAGAGAGACGGGCGATATGAAGGTTGGTGGAACAGCCGATTCTGGGCTAAACAACTGTGGAAGATGCAGTTCAAATGGATAATTATTATCATACAATGCTTGCAAATGATTTTGCTTTAATGATTCCACTTGAGACGAAGAAGCAGCTGAAGACTTGATGTGATCAGCAAAGTGTTCTTGATCTTGTCCAACATCTGTCTGGAAACCTGGCCTGTTATGATTTTTCTTCTTGAAAACCCTGCAGACCACCCACCCATCTTCCTGAAAATCACAAAGATTTTGTACGGTTAAACTAAAAATTCTAGAAAATTTTCAAAAAAAAAAACTCAAAATCTAGACAATTAGGTTTGCGAATATTACTTGAACTTCAGCGTTGTCATCATCTAGGCGATATTCATGCATGATCCAATCAGTCTTCTGGCCATGAGGGGCACGTCCAGTGTAGAAGACTAGGGTTTTTCTCATTCCAATCCTCTTAGAGTTGGAAGTATGATGAATGGCCTTGTCCCTCCCTGTTGCCTTCCAGAAACCAGCTGTGGTTGCTCGATTTGTTCGCGTTCCTGTTGGATATTTCTTGTCCTTGTGGCTGAAAAAGTACCACTCATTTTGAGGACCTGAACCTATTCTGCATTTATCTGCGCATGCAAAGATGCATAAGATTATGATTAATTCATCAAATTGTATACCATTCCAGCTCGATCTTGTTTAGGCACCTCACGAAAGTTAATGTACCTTTAAGGTCCCAAGGTTCGAGCTTGTTGAGATCCACCTCCCTGATGACATCAAGTTCTATAGCTTCATAGGAGACCTTCTTCCTGAGGTAATAGTAAAGAAGCTCCTCATCTGTGGGATGGAATCTGAAACCAGGAGGAACAGACAGCTGCCCATTTGCTGGCATCATCTTCTATATAGATACTGTTGTTATTAATCTTTGAACCTGAAATGACGAACCCCATGTTTGCTTTAGCGGATTCAGGATGATAAAAACAAACCTATAGAGCTAGCAATCCAGAAAGCCTAAAAAGCACAATATATGATGATGAGAAAGTGATGATATATAGTGTTTAAAACGGTAAAAAGAAGTAATGGCATCATGGAGCTAGAAAAGAGAAGAATAAAAAGTTAATTATCAAACCTTTGCGATTACGGATGAAAAAGTTTCTCTCCGGACAAAGGAAAGAAGACAAGAGAGAGAGAGGAAAAGCTCGAGAGATTTCTTAACTTCAAGGGCACGACGACTGTGGACACAAGGATTTAAGAGAAGAAGAGAGAGAGGAGTCATGTGGATCGGTGACAACATTAAATAACAAGAAGGATGAACACAGAAATAAAGAAGAAATGATAAAGAAATGCATGGATGTATGAGGGTCGTAGGCTTTGGTAAAATTTGTCCGTTGAATAGGAGACCTTAGTCCCGAAATTCGCCTTCTTAGAGTGAAGAAAATCTGCATAACTCTCAATAATATCAGACTAATAATTCTCTTTTCCATATCCACATTTGGTCAGAGTCAGAGATAGAAGGGAATAGAAGCTTTTATTCCTTAGTTTCTCTATTATTGTTTACATTTCGTCTCTTATAAGCTTAATTGTTTTAATAATCCCCCATTTCCCAATAGAAATAGCTAGATTTTGACACAGTTTTATGATTAATTATCTTTTAAACTAATGTCAAATGTCATAATTAATTATCTTTTAACCAATGTCAAATGATCTCCTTCCTCTTGAATCTAGATCATACTTGTTATTATATCAACCAAACCAATAAAAAAGAAAATGACTACGATACAGGATGATTTTGTTATATAATTTTTTTTATATAATTTTTATATGTTATTAAATAAATAAATATATTCAATATTATGAATTTCAAATGAATAAAAAAATTACTAATTTAAATAATATGTAAAGTTATACAAAAAAAAGATAATATAAAATTATTGTTCTTAGATCATTTTTCAAAAGAAAATGCTTTAATTTTCATGAACTTTCGATTTTTTTTTTTAACAAAGGCAGAAAAACTATGTGGAGATTATTTTATAGGGGAAATTAAAAAAATTAAGAAATTTTTTTTCATTTTTAAGTTATAATTAATGATAAACTATATCTAACATAAAATAACCTTTCTTTTTTTTTTTTTTGTTTATTTTAAGTTACACAATAGAAGCTACCATTTTTTTATTGCTTAACCTATTCCATGCACATTTTATGCAAGTTGCATTCAAAACTTTTTATTATCACTTAAAAGAGATTATCACTTAAATTTTTATGTCATTTATAACATTAAATAACCTCATAATTTGGTTTTGCACATTCGAGTCAAGTAGTTTGTCACTTACTTTTTAAATAAGAACACCCCCTAATTTGATGTTCGAATCCTTAGAATGATTTTCTCCGTCTCTCATAAAATGTTAAAATTATTTGTAAACTTGTTAAAAAAAAAAAAAACACATAATTTCACTAAATTCCTTTCTCTTTCCACTTGTCTCAAGCTTTAACTTTAAATAACATTTATAAGTATATAATCTAATGAAGAGTGAAAACAAGATTTTCGTGCAATATAATGAGACAGCTGTGTCATGGAGGTAATTAGGCTGTTATATTAAAACTATAGATGAAAGAAGGATGGTCTGCTCTCCTTGAATCCTGCTCATCAAATTCAGTGCATATTATTATAATGATTATAACAGTTTTTTCTGAATCACCCAACTCATTAGACAATGAACATGCATACCATATATATTTATTTATTGCCCCTTATTCTCAAAAGAATTTCCCACATTTGACCCCACAACTTTTGTTTTCTTCCAAAAGATTAAGGTCAAAAGGGAACAAAATCAGCAGTTGAGGGTATGCAATGGCTGATATATGCATAGTTTGTGGACCGACGAGTAAAATCGGTGGCAATTACACGTGCTAATCCAACACATTTTGCACAATCCAAGGCCTCGGTTTACTTAATCTAATAGTAATTAGGGATTGGAGGCAACCCTTTGCTTTAATTTCACATTCAAAGGGATTCTCACGCAATCTCATTTCTCACTTTCTGTGTATAATTCCTGGTCAAACACGCTGAACAAGTAGTGGTACACTTAGTACTATGGTTTTTGCCATTTTGCCCATTTAATCTCTTTGGATCTGTTTCTGGGTTTTATATATTTTGCTCGCAAAATTTAACGTGCCGTTGCCTTCACGAACACTACAAATTTGCATTTATGGAACTTAACTGAGTGAGGAAGGGAATCTTATCAGTAGCCTAATCCATGTGACAGCCTCACTCTACCATTTAACCCAACCCTATTTGGCTCCCCAATGATGCATTGTGTATGTAACTTGGAACTATTGGTGAATGCATCAAGATGGTCTGTGGATTATGGATAGTCGTTCTAACTTCTAAGGCCTAGATGGCAAGGGCTTCAAGTTATGTGGCACTCAATCCTAAGTTGGAATGCCAATCATTGTATTCCTCTCCCTTTCTCCATAATTTACCAATTATCCTCTTTTATAAAACTAAAACATAAAACATGTTACAATTTAAGTTACGGTTTAAGTTTATAGTATGCTTGATTTGATTAATTTTATCATTAATTTTTTTTTCCCCTTAAAACACATGTTAGTGCATTTGAAAATTCAAACTATTCAATAATAAATATCTAGTTCATTAATAACCAAACTAAACAAAGCCTTAGAATGATCAATGGGTTGAGATCCATTTGGGTATGGCCAAATTCGTGGATACCCTAGCTGCCGCCCTCCCTTTGTCAAGTCGTAGATTAAAAGATTCAAACATCTGTCTAAATCAAACATACACCATCTCATTCCTTATCAATGTTGTCTATTTAGCTCCACTCAAATTTTTGTTTGTACTAATAATAATTGCCAGAATTTACGGAAAACGGCATTCTCGTAGCTTGAAATTTTGAAGATGAGCATCAAACATGTCTGGTAATCTACATCCATAATTGCATATATTCCCCAAATCAACATATAACATATTTGTGGCACAACAAAGCACTATGCGCACTAAGTCTAAACTTACAAGCACCCTATGTACTTGAGAATGCCATTGAACATAAAAGGTTTGCTTGTGAAACAAAATTTGCCGATTAACATTAACCAATTTCAATAGTTCCCAGACCCAAGAAACACAATCACCAGGAATGGCACATTAAAACAACTTGCATGTCCTGTGCCCACATACTTGAATACAAACCAATATGGCACAACGCTTACTCAGCAATAGTTGAATTAATGGATGACAGGCTTCAGAGGATGTGCTCTCAGGTTTGACAGGTCAAGAGCAGAATCAAGCTCTTCATCAAGTTCACCAACAATGCTTCTGCAAGAATCATAAGGATAGATGTTATATTGTAGCATGCAGAAAGAACACAGGAAATAACATAAGTTACCACTCTAATCAACCTTCTTTCTACTTTCATCACACCTAATTAACAGAAAGGTAAAACAGAGATAAATAAATGGCAATGGAAGTAAAAGCTATGATGACATTACATATTATCCCCCCTTATTATGTACAAACCCAACACAAGTTGCTGGACACCTTCCTGCAAATTTCAACGAAGCATGAGTTATATTCCAAGACTCAAATTATAATATTTTGGAGTGTAAAGAAACAAAAGCTACAAAAGAAGACACAAAGAAAGTATCTTCAACCAAATAAGTCAAACTATTATCAGACACTTTTCCTATTCAGATTTTTTAGGTGCCAATGTAGAAGGAATATGAACACAAATAAGAGGTTTGTGAATAATGGTAGCACCTTAGTGGAGTATACACGTTCATGAGATTCATCAAGGATGATGTTTGTGGCCTGGTCAAACCCTTTCAAGACTCCCTGTACAATTAATCAACAAATAATGACGAATTAGAATTTCATTGCATCTGAAAACAATTTAGAAATTATTGATGAAGAAATTTGTATATTGGTACCATAACATACCACTATGTTGCGTCCATCATTTGTAATAACAGAAATTGTCTCTGCCATAAAGGAATTGCCAAATTAAATTTGATGACAAATGTATGGCAAAATGAAATTGAGTAAAATCCTGCTCTATGTTTACTCACTTGGAACAAATTACATCAAGATGTACCTCATGCAATCAATTTATTAAGGAAATGCCAAAGAACTACAAATCATTTCTCATTTTTTATCCACCCCACCGAAACCATTGCCATTTTTTGCTTTTTGTTAATGTTTGAATTCATAAGTTGTGGCCAAAAAGGAAATTCATAAAGTCTACATCAGTGTGCATAAAAGGTTCTTCTAATGCAAAAGAAAACCTTATTATGTCTTTCTCTACATATTGCTTGTAAACATGGAAACTAAAAGCATGAAAAACGTCAAAAGTTGTGTCTTGCACTGCTCCACTCCACTTTTCATTTAAAAGTCTAATGCATAGAAATTATAATAACAAAGAAAATGGATTATCAGAAATTTGCATACGATCTACAAGCGACTCGAGCCCAGGGCCACTTGACATTTTCCAGTCGTGCAAAGCAACTATCACGTTTGATTAGCAAGACTGGTTATCAACTTTCTGCAAAAAAGAGGAAAGGTATCTATGATGTAATGTAGCCAGCAATATAATCGGGGAACCAGAAGAACAAAACTGAGAACAGTAGGCTTGGGGAAATATTTCAATTATTCAAACATCAAAAGTTAACGCATCAGAGCCAAAAAGCATAACAAATAGCCTAGCATAAATAACACAATCACATATTATATTTCCAACAAATATAAATGTGTGCAAAATCCTCAAGTCATGACCCTCCAAAACAACGACAACAGATGCTTAAACCTGAAAAGATTATTCATATTTCATTTATTAAGTGAATCTTTCAACAATAAATCTTGGTCATCAACCAAAACCTTCTGTCTCAAGTTATGTGATAGCACGGCAAAGTCTTACTTAACATTTCACAAATTATTTCTTTTCTGTTTCACCTTGATTTCCTCTATCCTTTTTCTCTATATAGTATAAAACCTTTCTATCCATTTTCCCCTTTTCTTCTGCTTCTGCCATCACTCCTCTCTCTACTCCTTTAGTTCTACTCAACATTTATAATCTCACCCTCCATTTCTCTTCTTTTACTCCTTTTTCTCTTCAATTTCTTACTTTAATGCATATATATAATTAACCTGAATTCTAATTTCAATAATATACTGTCATAGATTAATAAAACAAATTTTAATTCAACAACGAGAATGTTACAAATATCAAAATCAGTTTTGAGTTGACAAAAACCAAATCCTCCGCCGTTAATCGAAAACCAAGCAACAACAATGAAATTGCCGGATAGATAGTTATCTATGGAGAAACACCAAATCGAATCAATTAAAAAGAGCAAGAAATGGTCAAATCTGAGAACGATGAAATCATAGTTTTAACGAAGTTGAGGTATACCTGGTTACGGAGCAGCGCACAGCTTGAGAGTTCTCCGGTACGCCGGCGTCAGTCGGAGGGATTCCGTTTCAAAACAGATTTGAAATAGAGAAAGTGCTTCCATAAGCTAGGTAAAGGGTGGAAAAAAGGAAAAAGCCCAAAACATTGTACAAAAGCAGCATTCAATCGACGGCCCAACCAAAGAGCAAGATACTAAGATAGATCCACTGGCCCAATTTGTTTGGGCGCGATTTGCGAACTGGGCCAGAAGAGTATTAATATTTCGTTAATTAATTAATTATTTTAACTTAATTATTTTATTTGCAGAGGGTAAGAACTAAATCAGTTAAAATGCGTTCGCGGTTGTTGAAATTTCCCGGCGGCGGCTGCGGCGGCGACTAGTCTCTGAACTGGGTTATTCCAGGTAAGAATGCCTTCTCCTCAGGCGCCATGAATTTGCTTTACTCTTCTTTTCACTAATGGTCTTGTTTGTTTTGTCTTTCTCTAATTTCTGTGATATCTGTGTTTCCTCCATGAATTAAATTCTCCCAGTCTTACAGATTCATAAATGGAGTTTTCAATTTAGGTTTTAGGGTTTAGGTTACACCTTGCTGAGATAAATTTATCATATTTTCTGTGAGGACTGCCTCAAAAGATATATATGAATTTATAGTTTCATACATTTCAGGAGTGTTGTTAACATGGATGGAAATTCCGTTTATTTTTCAGGAGAAGCTTTGCATTTCTCTACAGTTTGCGCTTTAAATCAACTGCACCATTAAAAAGCAAGAAACTTTTCCAGGGAGAGAGAAGGAGAAATGGAGTGTGCTAGCAGACCCTTCTCTCTTCATGGAAGCTTAGCCTTTATTCCATCATCTACTTCCTTTCTGAGATATAGAAGCTTACCTGGTTCCATTTCCCCATTTTTCTTTTCGTCTGTTTTCAACTCCTGTAGCTTAAGAATTGTGAGGGCGAGCTCTAATTCTGAAGCAACTTATTCAAACTCAATTATAAACGAAAGGCCCTTACTATGCCCTTTGCTACATGACAATGGTGGTTGTGATGGTAACAACAACAACAACAACAATAACAGTGGTCCATTTAATTTTGATTCTTGGTGGCAGTGGAATGAGGATTCTTCGGCTTCCTGTTCTTGTTCATTCCTATTGTTCCTTTACTCACTTTATTCTTCCTTTTTCCACTTCCAAGTATCTTCTGCCCTGGCAAGAGCTATTAGTGATTATGAGGGGGTTATTTCAGAAGTGAGAGGGAGCAAGCAGACCAAACTTATTCCTGACATATCAAAGGATGTTTTTGTTGCTTTAAATGAGATTGAAAGATTGTCAAACTCATTGTCTATGTCTACTTTGTTGCTTGAATGCAAAGACCTCATGAAGCGCTTTTTGCTACCTGAAGGGTTCCCTGATAGTGTTACCAGTGATTACTTGGACTACTCTCTCTGGAGAGGTATCCAGGGTGTTGCCAGCCAAATTAGTGGTGTTCTTGCCACTCAAGTAATGTCTTATTACTTTTATTTTTTTTAATTTTGAACTTTTGACAACTATTTTGTACTCAATTTTGCTTTGTTGTTTAGGCATTGCTTTATGCTGTTGGTCTAGGCAAAGGAGCTATTCCAACAGCTGCTGCCATCAATTGGGTCCTTAAGGATGGAATTGGATATCTAAGTAAAATTATGTTGTCTAAATATGGAAGGCATTTTGATGTCCACCCTAAAGGATGGAGGCTGTTTGCTGATCTCTTGGAAAATGCTGCCTTTGGAATGGAGATGTTGACTCCAGCTTTCCCCCATCTTTTTGTTTTCATTGGGGCTGTTGCTGGAGCAGGACGCTCAGCAGCTGCTCTCATCCAGGTAACTGTCATTATTCTGAGGAGGTGCAAATTTCATCTTTAACGGAGTTGTCCTGTTTCTAGCGCATGATTTTCCACATTTAATTATGTTTTTATTTACATCTTTTTACTCTTTTGTGGGTTCTACAATGTACAAATGCTAGGCCAGGGAACTCATGATTAGCTCTGTCTTCAGGGTTATCACCAACATGCATATGGGTATAGTATACCAAATTGGGTTTATAGATACTGTGGAGGAGGGTTCTTTAAAGTTGGTGAAAGGATAAGAGATAGAAAGAAAGTCTGAAGTCTCATGTGATGATACCATGAAAAACTCACCAAGGTAATAGTGGGCATAAACCATTTATATCTTGGTATGTTTGTGAATCATCCAATGTTGTACTCTTATGCATTGACACATGGGCCCGTTAGGGAAGGTTTAGGCAGAAGATACTTTAGTGAGCCCCACTTTGAGGTCACCAAGCCAGATCTCTCTAAAAGATCCTTTATTTCTTAGATCAGCAATAGGTCCTGCCTTTAGTCAGTTAATTAACCTATTAAAAGTCTTAAACTCAGATTAATATCCTTGCATCTTTCTTATTTCACAAGAAAGTTAAGTACAACTATAAGGGATAAAAGAGAGCATGCTTGAGTTATAATAATCATTACAGTGATGATAGATATTGCTATGATTATGACATGATGCTAGCATTTAATTGGATAATTCATCATACTGTTCCACCTCTCCACTTCAGTTAAACAGTATCCATAGATGTCAATAACTGCTGCTGTGAACAGTGAGCAGGCATCATTATCTGTCTTATTTGATGCTATAAATTATAATTGTGGGGGAAAAAATTGTAAATTACATCTTTTTTCTCTTTCTTAACATGTTTTAGTACCTGAGCCTATTACCATTGTTTCTTGTGTTAACTGACTTGAATTAATTGCAGGCGGCTACTAGGAGTTGCTTTTATGCTGGTTTTGCTGCTAGACGAAACTTTGCAGAGGTAAAACATCATCTCTTCTTGTTTATTTTTTACAGTATTTCTTAAATATAATTTCCTTCCCAAGAATGTTTAAGCACCTAACATTACTTGGGAGAATGAATTTGATTTACATGTAATTGGACTACCTTTGGGGGATGTTTGGTACCTAGCAAGTACCTTTGCAATTAAAATACCACTTTACATTGCTTCATACTATATGTCTTCTTTGTGAATTTCTTGATTTCATCAATCGAATCATGTTGACCTGCTTCTACCACAGTGGAGATATCTCTTTCCTAAAAGTTATTTTACTGTAGGTTATTGCAAAGGGTGAAGCTCAAGGAATGGTGAGCAAGTTTATAGGTATTATGCTTGGAATAGCATTGGGTAACTGCATAGGCTCTTCTACATCTCTTGCCCTTGCTGCTTTTAGTGTTGTCACCTGGCTACATATGTACTGCAATCTGAAGTCATACCAATGTATTCAACTAAGGACTCTAAATCCTTATCGTGCAAGTAAGCTGTCTATTCTTTCTTTTTCTTCAATTAAGATGACACTAGTTTGTTTTCTACTTCAGGTAAAATTAAGTTCAATACAATACACCATGAAATACATAGTTTGTATTTCATGATTAACCATCTTGTGTTGTGGACATATTTTAGTTTGATTATGGAAGTTAAAAGATTCATATTTTGGGAAAATGTGTTAGCTTTGCTTATACAATTTTGGACATATTAGCTAGAATTCATTATGCCAGCCTTCAGACATGATTTGATCCAGATCCAAGCCTACATTAGGCACTTAGGAATATTTTAATGAGGATTACATACAAGTTTTTGTTGCATCTTGCTCCAATAGTTTCAGTAATAACTATATGAACTTTTTCACTTCCTAAGCATGTGTCATGTGTAAAGAATCTTTGCAACTTTTTCTTAATGATAATTACATCAATAGTTTGTAATTGTAACTGTTTTCTCAATTTGTTCAAAGTTATTTAAGATTTTTGTGATATATTTACTTTTGCAGTTATTATTGCTAAAAAAGACAGGCTGATCGGAATGTAATGCCTAGACATTTTCTTCTTCCTTTTCTATTAAACATGACAATGTCTCTGTAAGGACTTACAGTCACTAATGTGATTGCATGGACAGGCAGTTGATGTTACTGTCCTGATCATCACTACCATCATTGACATGATTGTTACATCACTTCATTGCCATAAGATTCCCAATTGTTGTATGATAGCAAAGATGCTCCTTCATGGTTTTGACAGGTTTGGTTTTTAGCGAATATCTCCTTAGTGGCCAAGCACCATCAATCAGAGAAGTCAATTATGAGGAACCACTTTTTCCGGCTGTACCATTTCTTAATTTAAAATCAGGAGATAGGGTGAGTACTTTCTATCTTTTCTTTCTGACTTAGTTTATGTCACATACTGAACTAAGTTCTGAAAGTTATGAATTCAAATAGAATGGTTTCTCTCCTGATAATGGTATTTAAGTCAGATTGTTGTGCTAGGCTGCTTGGTTATTTTTTTTCTGGTTGAGATTATGGTTGTCCAACACTGAGCTTGCCACGAGCTAATAGATTATGAAGGCTACATGCTAATGAATGGTAAATGAATCAAAGTTATCTCAGTCTTGAATATTATGTCAAAGGTGATATGGTTTTCACTCTTCTATTCCTTTTTGGTGTTTTAGACTTAGATATATTGCACAGATTTAACATCAAAGTTCAACCAAAAATGATAAAGCATTTATCACCTGCATAATTTAGGCTTCTACAATGCAGCATTGGTAGTGAATCTGTAATTTCTATTTGATTGTATTTTGACCGAAAATCTATGCAAGATTTGTACTTTGTGATAAAAATTTTAAGTAGGAGATCGTGGGTTTTCAGTGGGGCATTGCTAGAGAAGTGGTTTTGTTATAGCAGTAATTGGTTAGTGTAGGCTGACACAATCCAGAGAGAACTGTGGATGGTTCATACTAGTGCTTAGGAGGACCTGAGTATTAGCTTATGGAGGAATATTAGGAAGATGGGATATTGGTCTTAACTATCTCCATGTCCATTTGAACTTGATAAAGGGTAGCCAGGTGTTATTTTTGCATGATGTGTGCTATGGGGAAAGAGAAAGATATAAAAAAATTTTATTTTATTGGAAATGATGAAAATACAAAGGTTGCAAGCTTCTGAGTGGGTGGGTGATTAAGTGGCAGTGGGATCCAAACTTTTTTTTGACTTTGTAAAGTTATAAATGCTGAGTGGTTATTTTTAGCAATTCTTTAAAATGTCTATAAGAGGCAAGAAGCAAGATTGTTGCATGGAACTCTATGCTCTTTGTTATAGTATGTCAGTGCTCTTATTTTCAAATGTCATTCGCTTTATTGGGAAGGTTACTGATAACTAAGTTTTATTGGTTTCCGATAATTCATGACGATAGTTTTTAATATAAATAGTGATATAGACTATCACTTCTTTGCTGTCCTCCAATCATTCAAATGCTTGATTATTACATCTGCTTGAGGTGGAAAAGGTCCCAGCCTGTTCTCTAAACATAGGATGTAATTAATGACATTGACCCTCTTTATAACCATTCTTCTAAACCCAAAAATGTTGAATGTCAAATTTTTCTCCTCTATGATGGTCAATCCACCCTTTTAAATGACAAGTGTTTAGGGTTTAGGACCAAGTTCACATAAGATTTTTCCCATTATTTACTGGCATATCTTTTGAGTTTCATTATTGTGGATTTACAGCTTGAGGACCAACTATTTGTACTATCGTCTGAAGCTAAGGATGCTGCTGCTGAAATTGAGAGTAGGCTGCAGTTGGGATCAAAACTAAGTGATGTTGTAAATAGTAGGGAGGATGCACTTGCATTGTTCAATCTGTATAGAAATGAAGGCTACATTTTGACTGAGCACAAAGGAAGATTCTGTGTAAGTGAACAACTGTCTTTTTGTTCTCTTTCTCTGTGTGTGTGTGTGTCTCATATACGTGCAATTGCAGTCTTCTTTCATTGCTGATAAGCAGTTCATGATGTGCTGAAGTTTTTATATGGAGATGCTTCATTAGAAAATCTTGATATACAACATCAGAAACCAAACAAAGCATCACTTAAATTTAAAGCAAAATTAGGGTGGAAAAAGCATGTGGAACATTGGGGTGAGAAGCAGAGAATTCAACAAAATGATGACAGGCTTTTGCACTAACGGAGAAGATGAGGGTGGATTTCTGACTTAAATTGTTAAATAACAGTTCATGGCATTAAAAAAATAGTGGCAGCAACCAGTTATGCTTTGGCAATATCATGACATGACCAAACTGTTAGCATGGATTTTATCCCCAGTGATTGGTCATTCCCTATAAAAGCAATGTATAAGTGTAGCAGGTTGAAAACAGGGGAAAATTTTAGGGACACCTTAGTATTGAGGCATATGGCTTACTGCTGTGAAAAGATAACGCTTGGGTGTCTGTTGAACTTTACGTTTCTTCCCTAAACAGGAAACCAAAAGGGAAGGGAATACTAGGGAATATAATGAACCAGATGGAGATTAGCCTTATTTGCACCCACTGACTTCAAAGGTTAAAAGTCAAGGTTTCAAAATCTTTGTAAATCCTGAGTATACTAACACTCTGATAAGACAGAGAGAAGGGAGCAAATGCTAGGTACAACAGTAAGCTGCTTCTTGCTGCACTGCAGTGGGTTAATTCACAGTAAAAATACCATCTTTGTTTTTCATCACTTTAGAGTTTAGACTCATGTAAATGATAAAATGGATAACAAAATATACTCATTCATTTATTTTGTTGTCAAACTATTTGTTTGGATCAGGTGGTCCTTAAAGAAAGTTCTTCGCCACAAGACATGCTCAAGTCACTGTTTCAAGTTAATTATCTATATTGGTTGGAGAGAAATGCAGGAATTGAAGCAAGCAATGCCTCTACTGACTGCAGACGAGGAGGTAGGCTACAAATTTCCCTAGATTATGTTCAGAGGGAATTCAACCATGCTAAAATTGATGGTGAATTAGTTGGTTGGCTCACTGATGGCCTTATTGCTAGGCCTTTGCCAAATAGAATACGTCTGGGTTACGTGGGTTCATAAACTGCGAGTTGATGCCATATAGATAAGGAAAATGGTTCTTTTGATTGAAAAATGGATAATAGTGTGACTTGATCCGGGGAGCTTGTTCACCCTTGTCTGTTCTTTTTTTTATTGATTCATTGTAGGAAGGAACCCAAGTTTAACTTAGAACGCTGTAACAATTGAAGGGACAAGGCCCTTCTTTCTTTTGTTTCTTGCGCAATATTTAAAGGGCGAAAAAAAGGGCGAGATCAACAGCACTTATAGTATTTGGTTCAGTTCCGTGTGCCTGTTAATGCTCCTAGCACATATTGCCTGTTTCAGAATTTGCTCTTTTAGTAGAACTTTTTAAAAGGGTTATCTGTTTTGCTTAACAGTTTACACTTGGCAAAAGTGTTATTTCGGTAGTATTTGTAGAAGTGTTGAATAATGAAACAAAGAAGTTTCGTTAAAAATTCTCAAGTAACTTGGCAGGAAATAAACTTGGATAAAGTGTGCTACTTACTTTTCTGAAATGTAAGAAAAACAAAAAGACTTTTCAACAACCCTTTTTTTTTAACGGCGAGCGATCAATCTTTGTTAGATGATTGAAATAATGTTGGTTTAAAATTAAGTTATGCACCTTTAGACAATTTGTAAGAGAGTGGAATGACTTCCCATAGAATGAGTTATTAATCTGTTTTAAATAATTTTAAAGACTTTATTAATACCGTAAATTTAAAGTTAATAGATTTTAAAAATACTAAATGAAATGCAAATTAAAGTAGATTTGTAAAAGAAGAATGCATCTCAAATAAAATTACTGTGTTGAGAGCTAGATTAATTTATATCTATAAACATATTGACAAATTAAACTACCATAAAACTAGAAATTTAAAACTAATTAATTATAAAACATGTACGAATAAAGATTAAACTAACATGAAAAATAAAACATGAACGAAACGTAAATACCATATAAGTAATCATTTAAAAAAAACACTACTTACCATAATCTTAAAATAAGCAATTATCAAAAGAGAAATAATACCTTGCATAAATTAAAATACTATCAATTACATGAGATGCAATTATAGAAGCAAATACATGAACTAATTTAGCTATTTGAATACTAGAAACAACTTAGAATCTACAAAGTACTGTGTTGAAGATGAAACCTAAAAGTTAAAGATGAAACCTAAAAGTTAAAGAGGGCAGTTGTTATGAAACTAGAGAATTAAAAATTTGGCGAGTTGTATGTAAAACTGACCATGTGTTAAATAATCTCAATTTTTTTTTATTTGCCTTTTGCAAACTGTTCTCTCACTTCACTTGTTAGCTATCACAAAATATGGATAATTAGTTAGAAAAAATGGACACATCAGTAAAATCAAGTCAAGGCTACATTAGATCTTATCACTTGTACCATTCTATTGCTACCTCAACCTTTCAACTATACTTCCGCATAAATAATAGGAGTTTCTTTTTAGTTTAAACTGCAACTAATTAAATAATCATTACCGTTCCCCAAAATCAATTTTCATGCAACAAGTGATATGAATCTCAACTAATAAATTGTATGTGAACTCACCTTACCTATTTATACGTGGTATTATTTAAAAAATTATAATTTATGATATAAATAGAAGTGTTTTTCAAGTGGAATTGCAATTTGACTATGAATTTATTAAAATATTTTCAATGAAAATATTTTTTATATTATTTTATTAATAATATTTTAGTAATTTTAATACTTGTAGTACAATTAGAATGACAATCCAATTTGAAAAATATAAAACCTATAATGAATTTATATAAGAGAATCAATAAGAATAGAGTAGATATCAACTTATACCTATGTAAGTTTAAAAAGTTATTATATTAATTTTTAGCCACATTTTGTTCTAAATGTAGTTGTTTTAAAAATTTAAATATTGTATTAATTATTGAAAATTTTAAAATAATATATCAAAATTGGTATAACATTTACAATGGTGTAAATTGATTCTAACTCATAAAAGTATATTATAGATAAGGACTTCAAAATTCTATATAAGGAATTTTCGAGGATATTATAGTATTTATATCAATACCATAACATTTTAACTTCAATTTTGTCTTGAATTATATTTCTTTAGGCATGAAATATCATGTCACATTTTTTGAGAGGTAAAAATTTTATCCTTTAACTTTATTTTATTGAGACTTACTTGGTATAATATTTTATTTAGAAAAGTAGAATGTTAAACTCTCTAAAAGAAGGAAAAAAATTTAACAATTTTAATAAAATTTCTCTAAAATCACAAACTTTTAAACTAAACTTTACCAACAAACAAGTGCTTAGATAGAACTTTTCGAGAATAAAAATTCCATAACCATATTATGTGGAGAAATTAGTTTATAATTAATTTTGATGATAAGTTTTTTTTTTTCTTCTTCTTTTAAGATCATAGGGCACAATGTTATGGGGACTGGAGTGCTAAATTAATAAGAATTGAACCTAGAGGACTTAAATGCTCAAAAAGATAAGTTAATGATCAACTTTAGAGTTTTGCCCACAACATTCTTTCGCCGGCTGTCCAACCTGGACCGGAGAGGAGGACAACGACAATCTCAATTTTCAAGTCTAAAGTCTCAAGTCTCTCTCTCTCTCTTTTCTTCTTTAACTTGTGTATACGAACTCACCATCGCCTTCCACCTCTCTCCGATCTGCTGCCTCCGACGTTTGAACTATTAAGATGAACGATTTACTAGCGGTAATGTAATCTGCCGTTCCCATCCTCAGCTTGTTGGGTTCAATCCAATCTCTTGACTTTTGGAGCTGACTCCCCTTGAATTCTGTTTTAATGTCGAATTTTTAATTTTTCTTCTGTTGCTGTTAATGGGCAAAGAGCAAACCCTTATGGGTGACTTATCTTTGTTTAGTTGGGAACCGGGAATGGGGAAAGACTGCTCCTTTTTTCATTGTTCTCTTGTCTGGATCTGCTTAAATTTATTGGATTTACTGCTTTGATGCTCCTATACCTTAATAGAAATAAGGACTGAATTGGGTTTATCTGACATCTTAGTTTGCTTCTGAGTGTGATTGGTAAGGGTCTGTTTTTGTGTTGTGTTATTAATGTTTTTGTTGTGCTGTGCCAGGATTCATTTGCTGGTGATACCAGAGGCCATCCGTCCAGGAATAATGATATTGAAATGGGACTTCAAGTTTCAACTAGTAATTCCGACATGGGAATGGAGGCATTCAATAAGCAGGTATGTAGTTTTTGTTGTATATTGTTGGAAACAGATTGAAAGTAAAAATAAAATCTCTTGCTTGTTATTATCCTACCTGATTCTGAAAGAAAATTGCAAATTATGTTGAAAGCTTGAGACTTACCTTGTATTTATCTTAATTTTTAAATTGTCTTTTCTATGGGAGGATTCAAAGAATGGACATCTGCCTTTAGATCATGGCTTTTCAGGCTCCCTTCGGTGTTCTTTTGCTTGCATCACTTTGTTAGTGTTTATTCTCCTTTTTTAAGGTATTTCCTCTTAACCACCTTTTTCTTGCTCATATTCTTTGTGATTCAGACACAAGAGGTTGAGAAACAGGTGGACAAGCTCTCAGGGTTGCTTAGAAAACTGAAGGTATGTTTATATATTTATACAGAAAACGGAAAGCCAGGACTGCCAGGCGATCCTAACTTTCCGCAACCCCATATATATATATATATATTCCCGAAAATCTATGTTTGTAATGAGACATTTATGGGCAATAGACCACAAGTGTTATGATTGTATCTCATTTTTGATTTGTCAGTCATCCTGCCTGGAAATATTGTTTCGTCTTCCATAACTTTAACTAAAACCAGTTGTAACTCTAAATTTTAATGTTTAACCTTTCCAACATTTTGGTTCAACAGTCTTGCCTGTGATGGCATAAGAAGGAGGGTTATTAGGAAGAGAGGAGATAGATCTGGAACTACTTCACTTGATAATTCTTCCTAGGAAGCATATAATAGACTGCAATTAATCAATGAAAATATTGTTTTTCCTAGATTATATAGGTTTTGTGGTCCATCCATCATGCTTGCAGGATTCTCCATGCCACAGCTAGTAGTCTAGTACCTAAAAGAGTGATCCCATTTGAACTTAAACTTTGGTTCAGAATTTGATAATTTTCTCTGTATTCACTAACATTAAATGTGAAGTATACCATACCTTATAATTAGACTTGTTTTTAGTTTTACAATGGTAACAACTTCAGTATCAAGGGGTATTATGCTGTCTTAGTGATTTCTTTCCTACTTATTACAACTAATGGACTGAGTAAATCTTGATGATTAATTGATGAATTTACTGATTATAGTCACACATTACTTCTTAATCATCTAATGTGGAACTTTTCACAGGATGCTAATGAGGAATCAAAATCTGTAACAAAAGGATCTGCTATGAAAGGTAGAAATCTTTATTTCTGCCACTTTTAAGTTTTAAGTTGTAACTCTATAAAACTTGGTTGGTTGTTCAGTTGCATAAATGAGTATAAATGTAAAGCTAGCTTTGTTTTAGGCTATTAGAGGTTGAGTGACATGATGGAATCAGATCTTAAGACATACCTGTCTTTTTGTTCTTTATTTCTGTTTTCCTTGTACATTACCTAACAATTTTCCATAAATTATTTTAGCCATCAAGAAGCGTATGGAGAAAGATATAGATGAAGTTGGAAAGATTGCACGTAATGTCAAAGCAAAACTCGAAGCAATCAACAAAGAAGTAACAATTTACTTCATTTTTCTGCTCTAGATCTATTCTAGCATTCTGCTATGAGAGCTATATTTAATAAGATCAATTAGTTAATTTGTTGATCTTTTTTCCTTTTGTCTTTAGAATTTAGCTAATCGGCAGAAACCTGGATGTGAGAAGGGTACAAGTATTGACAGATCCAGGATGAACGTTATGAAGTGTGTTTCCTATGCTAAGTTTTAAATTTTTTGCTCCAATAAAAACTTCATATTGTACCGAATAGTTTTAGGAAGTTAATAGATGATTTTTTAATCCTTTGTATATTCAAATTGCAGTGCCTTGACAAAAAAATTCAAGGATTTAATGACAGAGTTTCAGGTATATTTACACACTGAGGTTGTATTTTGTCAGATACTTCTCTCAATAATCTCATTCTTCTATTCTGTTTCAGACACTAAGACAAAAGATACAAGATGAGTACCGTGAGGTAGTGGAAAGGAGGGTCATTACAGGTTAGAAAACAGGCATTAGTAACAAAAATGGTGAAGTGGTTTGATTGTTATCTCTAAATATGTTTTTTTCTTTTTTCTTTTTCCATTTGAACAGTTACAGGAACCAGACCAGATGAAGAGGTAAGCCTTAGTTTGACTTTGGAATATGAGCCATGTTGCGCCTGGGTTTTATGGTAATTGCTCTTCTTAATGATTTCTTAGACAATTGATCGCCTCATTGAAACTGGAAACAGTGAGCAAATATTCCAAAAGGCAATTCAAGAACAGGGACGGGGACAGGTATGCCCCTTCTTATGTGTAATACCAATTCACTGTAATGATTTTCTATTTTTGAGTTTTGCAAAGTTCTTTGCAAGATAATTGAGGCTTGAAACTTTGTAGGTTTTAGTAATACTATCATCACATGTGATACAGGTTGCACCTTTAATATTAGATTTGAGAAACTTCTAAATGGTATTATCCTCCTAATGTAATAGATTTAACAATATGAACAATTTGAGTTATATAGGAATGTGATCAAGTGGCAGTGTTCAATTAACTACTTATACAAAGTCATGACATTTACTGTCGGTAAAACAGAAATGGCAAGGATAAAACAACGATGCATTTATTTAGCATTAGAGGCATATGTATGCAGGGTATTATGTTTTCAGTGTCCTTTCAGATGAGATTTTGGTTGCCTAAATAGATTATGTAGGTCTGTGGGAATTGTGATCTTTCCTGTTTTGATCTTCTTTGGTTGCTAGACTCCCTTAAGGTTACTTTCCTAATTTTCATAACATTCTTAAGAACTAAGGCAAAGAGACTTTTATCTATAGCATGCATAGCTTCAGCTGTCTTTCCTTTTTGAATGGAATTGCACCTAGGAAGTCAAACAAGGTTTGACAACTGAAAATTTAACCATTATCCGAACCAACAAAATGGAACTTTAATTGCTTCAGAATGGTCAGAGTGCAACAAATGTTTCTACATTTCGTTGTCTCTGGCATTATTATACTAGGATTTCTGACATTAGAAGGGATATGTGTAATGTCATGTGAGAGATAAAACTTTGCTTGTGCAGCTCATGGGTTTTTTTTTTTTATTTTTTCCTCTGCTCAAATTTGCATTCTTAATGACATTTGCTTCAACATGAGTTAGAGAATGTTGTGGTTTGTACCTTCCAGTTTTTGATTGGTGGTTTCCTGCTCTTTGAATCCTGTTGCAGGTGCTAAACACAGTGGAAGAAATCCAAGAGAGACATGATGCTGTGAAGGAGATTGAGAAAAAACTTCTTGACTTGCAGCAGGTAGTTCTTCAATACATTCCTAGTCCAAGCATGTTTCATAGACAAACAAAAATAACTGTTCTAGTGTGACTTTCTTTTTCCAGATTTATCTTGATATGGCAGTTCTTGTTGAGGCTCAAGGAGAGATTTTAGACAACATTGAAAGTCAGGTTTGTTCCTCTTCTAATTAGCTTCTTAGAGGGTATCTCTGTGCATGTGTGGGTCAAAAAATGTATTCTGCTTGGTCTTGTGTGTTAATGGAATCTTGTTCAGGTTGCAACTGCAGTCACTAACGTCCAGACAGGGACAACTGCACTTCAAAAGGCAAAGACACTTCAGAAGAATAGCAGAAAATGGATGTGCATTGCCATTATAATCCTCCTAATCATAGTGGCTGTCATAGTTGTTGGTGTGTTAAAACCTTGGCAGAATAAGGGTGCTTGAAGAACTAATCTGTCTGCGTCGAGCGTGTATGCGGGCATGTTAATACTTAGCGAATTAGGATGAACCTTTCTCTTTTTCTTGTCTATTTTTTTGGAGATCATACTTTTTATCCTGCGTCTCAAGTTAGGTTTGTGAGGTGTGATGTGATTTGAAGTATTATTTATCGGTGTCCCCACTAATAGAAGTTTTCCATACAAGCATTATAGTTTTTCAACACACTTTAAAATTTCATATGATTCTTTTTCTGCGTATAAAATGCAATGCCGTATGCTGGTTATCTCAGTCTTTCCATTTTCTATTTATATGAGAGTTCAGAAAAATGATTTCTGATTAGCCTAAGTTCTTTCTGGTACAAGTTGCTAAATTTGTCCCCTGTTTTCTGGAGATTTTGATCAATTGGTATCCCATGATATTCTAGCTTTTCTCCTTTTGTTTATGCCTTCATGGTAGCACCCGTCTAATGGAAGCCTAGATGTGGTTGCTCCTTTAGGAACTAACTCAAAATGTTGCTCTTAATCGGTCCCCATTGCTCCTCCTACACGAAGCATTGTTTGGTGCTTAAATTGTAAGCACTAGATTGTCGCTTTGGGAGCGCTCATGGGGGTCTAGGGAAATTGATCAATGAAGAGAAAAAGAAGGGTGGATGGGGGAAGATTATTTTACTATTACTAGTACTGGAGCAAACAGTAAGTGGTTAATTCCAACTCGTCAAATCCTAAATGCATCCATTAGAAACAAAAATATTGAAGAAATTGAAACTTAATTGGTTAAAAAAATATATTTTATATAATGAAAGTTCAAAATTTAAATATAAATAATTTATTTTTTATTAATAAATTAATAAAATAATTTTAAAATACATATAAACTGCTTTTGAAGCACTCTAAGAGCTAAAAAAAAAATTGAAAACAAAGTGCTTGCAAGGAGTTTTATGGTGTAGTGACTATCTTAATCTTATAAAAAAAAATTTATATTAAAAAATTAAAAATATAAGTTTTGAGTTTCCCATCAATGTTAAATAAAAAATAAATAAATAAAGTGCTTGCCATAGGGTAGGCATGGCCTAGGTTGGGAGAATGTCATGTCAAGGCTTGTTAGGAGGTACTCCAATCCCACAATCGATGGAAAATGGGTTTGTTTGTGTCCTCACAACGGGTGCACAAGTGGGTGCTTCAGAGTTCAGATAAGAAGAGTGACACAAAGCCCACCGCACGCGACAGCATTCAGTCTACGGGCAGGTCATATTTCGTACTGGTTGGGGAAATGATTACCATTTGCTGACATTATAAAAGGGTTGCATTTTTACCGTTTATTTAGAATAAATTAAATTATAAAATAAAAATTATTAGATAAAAAAATTATTTTTAATATTAAAATTTTAATTTATTTTTAAATTATATGATATTTTTTGTTATTAAAATTAAATATAATTAATCTTAAACATTCGTGACTAGCTAAATATAGTATTTAAGTATTGTTACCGAAGTTTACTTCTAATAAAACAAATAGGGTGCATTTGAGCGATCTAGTTCAGTGATAATAAAACTATATTAAAATGTTTTTTTTTTTTAGGTAACGGTTCGACTTCGATTCTTATAAATATGTTAAGAAAAAAAAAAACAAATAGGGTGTCTAGTTGTGGCCTGCAGTGACTAAAAAAATAGTTAAAGGGAATTAATGGGAGAGTTAATAAAGTTTGAAGGTTAAAAATAACAATTTTCCTTTTATTTTCTACCTGCACGTGGATTGTACATTATGTCCCCTATCCCTAATAGTTTAACGTGGGCATTTATCTTGATTTGAACCCCAATGAAAAGATATCAGGTTGAATGGGCCACAACTTTTTTACAGCTTGATTTGGTTGAAAGAATAATTATTTCTTTGTTCAACTATAAAAGTATTATAAATTTTAAATTTTAAATGATATGTTAGTGGAAAATTTATTGTGATTTAAGTGATCATTTATATTTTACAAGAAATTATTTTATGTTAGTAGTGATGTAAAATTCAAGTTTTATTCTCGTATTAAAAAATATATATTAATAAATAAATATTATCACATCCTTAAGAAATAATTATTTATCGTTTTAATCATTTAACCAATAAATTTAAGTTGTCAAAATTTTTAAATTTGTTCTTTAAATAAAAAGATAGAAATAAATCTAAATAACAAAAAGTAGATTATCTACCCTTTTGAGTTAGTTCCACTGAATCTAATTAGGTTCCTGAGGCAGGTTATTGTCATGCTTTTGACTTGATGAACAACCAACAAACCAAGGTCAATACAAGACATTGGGACAAGAAACGTCGAATAGCTAGGATAGTTTGATGCAAAGAAACAGGAGTGTTCTTAACCAAAGATAACATTCAGGCTGCCCCTTTAAATAATAGGGGATTCAGCTCCGTTAATGCACTCTCACCAGTTTCTATACATGGCAAACTGAACTAAACCTGGGTAAAATTAGCATCAGCGCAAACCATAACTCAAGATATAATAGCTAGCTAGTCTTCAAGAGCGCACACTGTTGCAAAAGCTGTATAGAGGACTAAGAGGAGCGTCAGGCAAGATAGCTGCAGGCTTTGGAGCATGCCCATTTTGGTAGGCTTTCTTGGGAGGGAGATGATTACCAATTTCGCAATGGGGCTTCTCTCGGCTGTCATGGCCTTGTAATACAGAATCTAACTTCCCACAAGCCGCCGCTATTAGCCCTGCATATATATTTGGTTAACCAGTTAAAACTTAAAAGATTAACAGCGGCTCAAAAAACCAATAATGTCTGTCAAGTACCTAAGAACAAAGCAGAAGGCCTTCCGGGTCTTGATTTAAATTCAGGGTGGAATTGGACGCCAATATAGTAAGGGTGATTAGGCAATTCAATAATCTGCATTCACAGAGGTGTAAGCGTCAATTCCAAGCCCGAAACATAAACTACAAATAGAACTTGACAGCTTATGAGGAGAAAAATCGACACCTCCATGAGTTGACCAGTTTCATCCTTGCCAGTGAAAGAGAGGCCAGCTTGTTCAAGGGCTGCTACCATGTCTGGATTTACCTGCACAACATTACTTGTTTGTAAAGCTGAAAAAACTACAAGGCAAACTGATATGTCCTCAGTTCTAAACGCCCTTGTACCTCATATCTATGCCTATGTCGTTCCTCGATGTACCTTTGATTTCCATATCTGCAAGAAATGGATAACTCAATATCTTCACACACCATACTAGCACTTCATTTGTTGCTTAATGTACAGGACAGGGAACTTTACTGTTTTTTGTCATATAAAATTCAATATTACTTACAATTTTGCTGATTTGCAGTCCATTACTTGGAAATTTGTCCTTCTTGATCCAAGACGCATGGTACCTCCCATATGTGTATTTGACGCCTATTTAAATGGTAGAGGCAAATTAGTTTGCCTTCACTTTACACTGTAAACTCAAATTAAGGGATGGGGAACGGTTCTAAACCTCAGGCATAACTATAACAAAGGGCTGCTTGGTATTGCGATCGAACTCAGTGCTATTAGCATCTTCCAGGCCTATAACTGATCTTGCAAACTCAATGACAGCAATTTGCATTCCCAGACAAATGCCTAGAAATGGAATTTTTTGCTCACGGGCATACTTGGCTGCAAGAATTTTTCCTTGCACTCCTCTATCACCAAAACCTCCTGGAACAAGAATGCCATCTGCAGCCTGATCCAGTAGAGGATATAGTCAGAGGGCTGAACAAAAATGAATTCGCCTAACCAATCTAACAAATCAGAAGCTAGGAAGAACAAACCTTTAACAACTTCCAAGCAGCCTTATAAGCGTCAGGATTCTGCAAAGGGAAATATATGTTTCAGTCTAACATGTGAAGAAGAGACATATATATGGATGTCACCATAGGCTATTTGGAAATAACTATGACCTCATTTTTTGTTCCATCCTCAAGATTACTAGAAGGGACCCAATCCACAATAAGTTTCTTGCGGCAGGCAACAGAAGCATGTAAAAGGGCCTGCACATAGCATGATAGCTTCAATAAGACTATAACATTCTAAATGGGAGTCAGTCAGATGGAATCAAGCATTCTATATTTAGAAATTGGACCTAAATGTTAATCACAAGCACTTCAGTTCCCGTTATGCAAAAATTCAAACTGAAAGTGTAAAAGAACAAAAAGGAAAAAATGCAACAGCTTGCTGTGTGCACCTTTAGTACAGAGAGGTAGGAGTCTGAAAGGCCTGTATACTTCCCAACCATGGCAATTCTTACCTGTATATTAATGAGGAATAAAGGTGAGACCCTACAACAATAATTAAGGCAATACTAAGAATTATCTGTTACAAGTAACAACTCACTGGCTCATGTAAATTGTCACAGATTTCAGCCCTAGAGGTCCACTCCTTTAAAACAGGCTCTTTAGTAGTACTGCACAAAAGTAAACATATTTGCATGGATCAAAAGTAATTTCAGGGCAATGTTCAACATTGAAGAGATTTAATTGAAAGGATTGAATTAGGTAGAGCATATCATACACACCTGTGAAGATTAAGCACTTTCAAAATCGCTTCATGAGCTTTCTGGTCCTAGTTGAGATGAAAAAATATAATTCATTTTCTAACTGTAAAAAATGGAGAGCGCCGATTTTAAAATAAAATGCAACCCAACTTACTCTTAGAAGCAAAGGGATGTGCCAGATGTTAGGAACATCATAGAGTGTGATGATGTTTGCTGCCTAGAAACAATTAAGTTGTTTCAATTAAATTAAAAAATGTTTCAAATTAAGCAGATCAAGTGAAGTGATACGCCAACAAGAGTTTCTTGTAGTGATAACCATACCGGAATATGGCAAAACTGAGACAGCTTCTCCTTCACATTTTCATCAAGTGCCTTTAAAATTAAGGAAATCCAAATTAAGTAATTTTGAACCTGAAGCTAACAGTGTAAAGCTAGTATGTATGGGAGAGACAAAGATCATCACCGTAGTGCTGCGACAAGCTAGGATATGGGGTGTCAATCCCTGGCCTCTCAATCCTCTAACACTGTGCTGGGTTGGCTTTGTTTTCTGATACATTTGCATGTTAGTTATGATTAGTAATGCCAGTATAGATTGTTAATTTTTCAGTAATTGAACAGGATTGTTGCCCTTATTAGTTCAAAATAGTTACCTGTTCACCAACAACATCTAACACAGGCACAAGGCTCACATGAATCAAACAAAAGTTTCCAGGACCTGAAGAACATGAAGAAAAAGATATCAATTAACATGAAAACTAAAAAACATAAATGTTCTGTCTCCAAAAGCATGTAACCTTACCAACACGGCATGAAAACTGGCCTAGAGCCTCAATAAAGGGCATGGACTCAATATCTCCTGCACGAATGCAAAAGGGTTGTTGCTTAATTACAAAACAAATTCCTTTAAAAGCACGTTGCATATGTGTTTGATTTTAAATATCAAATTTAAGTATACCTATAGTTCCACCCAGTTCTATGACACAAACATCAGGTGCACCTTCCTTTCCATCAACTGGTATCTTGGCCACGCGCTCGATCCATTCTTGAACTGCATCTGTAATGTGAGGAACAACCTGAACAGTTTTTCCCAGATAATCACCCTTCCTCTCCTTGTCAATAACTGCCTGGTAAATCTTGCCAGTAGTGATATTGTGATCTCGAGTCAACTTGATATCCAAGAACCGTTCATAGTTTCCAAGGTCCAGGTCAACCTAATATTAAAATTAACATTCTGTTTCAGTTAACACTGAACTCTTTTTCCCTGTTTCTTTTCTTTCCTTCCTTTTTTTTTTTTTT